TAATCACCTGCTGTATACGTACATCCTCTGTGAGAACCTGGCTCCCATTACCCTTGACGTGGTTATTTTTCTGCCGCTCCCCCGTCCCTTGTCCTGTGACCTTCCTTGGCCTGTCCAAGACAAGGGAAGAGAAGCCTCATGGCTTTCCTTCCAAACCATCAGAAAGGGAGAAGAAGGAGAGGATTTTTTTAAATCTGGAAATCATCTTGCACTCCTCTGTCCGCTAAGCACGTTGCTTGCCCCGCCCCTCGGGGGACCTTTCCAGATTGCTCCACCTGAGAGAACCCTGTTTTTCAACGATGGTTTGCTCCTTTACCATCCTTCACGGTTCTCTTTATTTTAGACTTTGAACTTCCTGCGCTCTTGATCAGCCTGTCAGCTCCAGAGTGTGCAATCCCCCATTTCTTTTTGAAACCCCTTTATTGAGGTATGACTGACATGTAAAAAGCTGTCCATGTTGAATGTGTGTGACTCGCTGAGTTTGGGGATGAGTACACGGCTGGGAAGCCCTCATCACCATCAAGGCATAAACACGGCTATCACCTCCCGAAGTTTCCTTCCACTCCCATTATTAGTATTAGTTATCGTTATTATTTAGTGATTCCCCATCAGACTCAGCCTGGGGCCCTGCCTGGGGGAATAGGTGCCATGTGTGGAGCTGAGGTGCTGGCTTTTTAGACTAGAATGTGACTGTCTTCCTTTCTGAAGCAGAGTCCTCTCTGTCTCAGTGTCTAAAGGGCGGGTGACTCATGGCCCTTTGGAGGAGCCCTTGTTGATGCCAGGGCCCCTCCCTGACATTCCAGCAGGAAATCAACCCTTTGCTGGCCTGACCAAATTTACAGTGGGCTGGTCGTGGCAGCTGGTGACAGCAGCTGGTGGTTAAGATCACTGACAGATTTTTTTTTTCCCTCCGAAAAATATTTCTGTCACTCTCATCTCAGCGCCACCATGGGGAGAATTTAGAAGCCATTTATAGCCTCCTGCAGTGGGTCCAAGAAGGGCTCCTTCATGAGAACCCCTCCACTTACCCAGAAGTCAGCTCTCCCCCATTCTCAGCCATCCAGAACATAACTGGGCCACTAGGAAGTAAGACAGAAACGCCTTCAAGCTGATGGTGCAATGCGAATTTGACAAATGTTTTTTTAGTAATTTTGTGGGGTTCAAGCTAACGGATGTACGTGTGTATACACACACACTTTTATTTTAAAATTATTATAATTATGTTGTATGGGAGGTTTACAGACCTTTATCAGTGCTTATGAACTCTTGATTTACACACTGTTCTAATGCCCGGAGCCGTGTGTCTCAGTCTGCACAGGAGAAGCAAAGAACTGAAGACGTAGAGTTGAGAAGGGTCAGGTGGGTCAGCAGAGGTGCTGGCTGACAGCCTGCGAGTGAGGGGCAAGGCTGAGTTGGGAGCATCCGTGGTGGCCGTGCAGGCCATGGTGCCTTTGCTTTTACAGATGGAGCAGTCACCTGGCTGAGATCCCAAGGTGGGGCCAGTCCAGAATCCAGCCCTCTTGACTTCGTGTACGATTGTGCTCTTAGTGCCCCAGCATACTTCCTCACTGACATCATAGTGACTGAAGGTGCTGATTGTGTGTCACTGAGAAAACATTTCATTATGTTCAAGATTCTCTGTTCGGAAAAATCAGAGGAGTGTCCAATAGGCTTTGAAACATAATTCCTCCCAAAGAGAATAAAAATGCCATCCCACAGACTATGCAAACGGATATCTCTTCCCACCCCCCCCACCCCCACCCCGCCAATCTTCCACTGGGACCTTCATTTTCCCCGGTAGTGCCAGAGGAGCAAGGGGTGGCTGCGTTTGTGTCTTGGGTCAAGGCTAACAGGCCCGTGGAAAATGTCAATACGGAAGTGAAGACTTGACCCTGCGTGTCCCGTCTCATAAAACTCACTGAGCTACGTACAAACTGAAGCTGTTCCCTGGCACTTAAAACTGTCCTTAAACATGTTTTCTTATTTATTTTGCTTGTAAAAGCAGTGGGTGGTCAGCACAGAACTAGAAAACAGACATAAATTCAACAGGAAAAAACACTCCTGGGGCACCCGGCTGGATCCTTCAGTGGAGCAGGTCATTCTTGATCTCAGGGTTGTGAGTTCAAGCCTCACGCTGGGCGTAGAGATTACTTAAAACCTTAAAAAAAACACTCATAATTTTGCTACTGCAAGAGAATTAGTATTAACACCTTGGCACGTGTCCTTCTTCATTGCTGGGTGGTTGTTCACTGTGTGCTTCCTGCGTGTGTGTGTATACACGTGTGTACATATCTACATCTATACACATGGTATATAAACACCGATATCCACATGCACATGAAATCTGGGTAATGCTACCAACAGCTTTTTAAAAAAATATTTATTTATTGGGGCGCCTGGGTGGCTCAGTCGATTGAGTGTCCGACTTCGGCTCAGGTCATGACCTCACAGCTTGTGAGTTCGAGGCCCGCATCAGGCTCTGTGCTGACAGCTCAGAGCCTGGAGTCTGCTTCGGATTCTGTGTCTCCCTTTCTCTCCAGCCCTCCTCTACTCATGCTGTATCTCTGATTCTCTCTCAAGGAGAAATAAACGTTAAAAACTTTTTAAAAATTATTTATTTATTTTGAGAGTGAGCGAGCGGGGGAGGGGCAGTGAAAAAGAGAGATGAGGAGAGAGAGAATCTCAAGCAGGCTCTGCGATGTCAACACAGAGCCCGACGTGGGGCTCAATCCCACGAGGCATGAGATCATGACCTGAGCCAAAATCAAGAGTCAGATGCTCAACCAACTGAGCCACCCAGGTGCCCCCCCCACCCCCACCCCGTGCTACTGACAGTTTTAAAACATTTCCTTAGTTAATGATGGACGGACTTGCCTCTAGGTACGTGGAGATCTACCTTATTTTTTTAAACAGCTGCCAATAAGTCTGTTCTACAGCTGTGCCTTAATATGATTAACTGTCCCCAACTGTGGGACATTTTGGTTGTTTCTAGCTTTTTTGTTTTGCTTTGTTTTGTCTTGTTTTTGCTATTATGGTCTCAGATGCAGTCCACATCTTTGCTCACACCCTCAATCATCATAAAATAAATTCTTGGAAGTACCGTGGCTGGGTCGAAGGAAACAAAGTCTTTTCTGGCTTTCAGTGTGTGTCGCCAAAGCTCCTGGGTGATGTTTTTCCATTCAGGTTTTTTTTTTTAATGACTTTGGAAAGTCGCTAATGCCTGTAGTTTAGGATTCTCTGAAGAGTGGTCCAGAGTCCCTGCTGCCTCCCCGATGGCTCCTTCCTCTTCCCCTTGTACCCATTTCTCTGACTCCTCGGCCCAGTCACAGGCTCCGAGATCGAGTTCTGGGGGATTTGGAATGGTGGGTGGGAAACTTGGAAGAGGAAGGGAACATCACAAGGTCCGTGGGAGTAAACAGTCAGGTGTGGGCACAAGCATGTGCTGGTCTAATCATATTTACAACACAGCTTCAGGAAATTCGCCCTGGGCCTCCCTGCCTCTCATTCATTTCAATGCCAAGGGCCTCACTTTGTGGCAGAGCATTGGATAGGAGTTTAGGGCTGAATCTTTGACTTAGGATCTAGTTCCAGTCCCTTGACCTGGCCTTGGAATCTGGTTCCTGTCCACCTCTCCCCTTCCCGGTCTCTGTCATCCACACTCCCGCAGCACTGACCTCTTGCGATCATTGCTCCAGAATGCCAGACTCCTTCCTGGTTCAGCGCTTTCAGATAATGTGGCTTCCTGTCCTGCAGACACTCTGCCTTTCTCTTACTCTTCAACCTCTGGGACATGGCCTAGAGTGGTGGTTAAAACATGGCCCCTGGAATCAGGCTTGGGTTTGTATACTGGTTCTGCCCCTTACCGGCTGTGCAACCGAGGGCAAGTTACACAACCTCTCTGTGCCTTAGTTCTCATACCTCTAAAACGAGGGTCATGATGGCACCCACCTCCCAAGGCCGTCGTGAGGATCAGATGTGGTGATATCTATGAGCACTTAGACTAGCAGTCCCTGGGTGGCTCAGTCGGTTAAGTGTCCGACTTCGGCTCAGGTCATGATCTCATGGTTTGTGAGTTCGAGTCCCACATCAGGCTCTGTGCTGACAGCTCAGAGTCTGGAGCCTGCTTTGGATTCCGTGTCTCCCTCTCTCTCTGCCCCTCCCCTGCTCACACTCTGTCTCTCTCTCTCAAAAATAAATAAACATTAAAAAATTTTTAAAAGATAAATAAATGTCTGACTCTTGCCTAAGACTATAAACCCTATGAGGGCAGGATCCACCTTTTCCTTGGTCACAACATAAGAGTTGGTCTGAAATCAGGATCTGCCCTCAGAAGAAAAGTGAGTGTCCTGCTCCTCACTGCCCAGAGACAGGCGCATCAGGAAAAAAAACGCATGGACCTCCTTGATGAACTAGTAAGATGTACCTGATTATGGAAGGGGATTCCCAGCAGAGTGAGCTGTTGTGTGACAGTGTGTGACAATGACCTGTGTCCCTCTGCACTTTCAAAGCCAGCTGCTCTCGGAGGCTGTCTGGTGTCCACCTTCTCAGCAGATGAAGGGCCAGTGTGGTTTTTAAAAATTTCTAAGGCATATAGATCAAAACTTTAAAAAATACAATTAAATGAATTACTAGAAAATGAAAGGACGCAGGGCCAGGATTTCTCATTCCTGAGCACTATTGACACTCTGGGCCAGAAAATTCTTTGTGGTAAGGCTGTCCTGTGCATTGTAGGATGTTTAGCAGCGTCCTGACCTTTATTGTTAGAGTCAACAGACAAAATTACTTTATCAAGTCGCTCCGCAGGCTCCTAAACACTCAAGTCTCTGTGTTTTCTCCTCCTGGGCCAGCGCCACCTGTGGGCCACACTTGGAGTAGCAGCAGATCCTTCACTTCCTGAAAGGCCCTGCTAGGGCTCCAGATAAAATGTGCTGTTCAAACACGTTGGAAACTTTAAGGAACATTTCTGAGCCTTGGTTTTTTTTCCCTTCTCCTCTCCCCAGGTCACCTGTAGCAGATGACGTCATCCAGCCAGCTGCCCTCGAGGACTTGGAAAACCCACTGTTAGCTGCCTCTCCCCACCAGGGTGAAGCCATCAGCCAGGACGCCAGAGATCTGACAGCCCAGAGGTACGGTGGGGTCTGGGCCTGCGTCTGGCGGTGGGACCTGGGTCCCGGTCCCTGAGGCTGCCTCCCTCCTCTCCCCTCTTCTCCCCTGCACACCACCCCTACATATGTTTGCACGGCTCCTGTGCACAGGGCTGGGGCCTCTTCTTGGGGCCTTAGGGACACCAAGAAGTCCCTGCCCCAATAAGCAATATAGAGATTTGTTCCCTTGTGATCTTCAGGGGCCCCTGTTTAAAATAGAAGTCCTCTGGGAGAGAGGATGTGCTATTTATACATCTCCAAGGAATGACTCAGTTGGCTGCCTCTGACCTCCCAGGACACGAGCTGGGTTAGCTGCTTGCTTGGCCTTCTGGTGGTGGGGGGAGCAAAGGGGGTCCAGCAGCACCATGGGGAAAGGGACCCGGTCCTTGTGCCTTTGCTTGACTGACAGGTGTGGCCAGTGGGGGGGGGGGGTTCTTCCCTCACCTGCACTTGATGCCGCTGCACCCCCATAGCAACTGCACTGTGCATAACCCGCTGGCACTTTATTTAAAACAGGTTTGCTCAGAATCAGCCTCAAGACTTGGTTCAGATGCCAGTACACACACACACATGCACACACACACACACACACACACACTCCACACTCTCCTATCTTTTTCTGTATGCATGCTCCTCTCCGCCACCCCCTATATATATACATAGAGGTTTATTTAATACACACACACACACACACACACACACACACACACTCCTATCTTTCTCTGTATGCTTGCTCCTCTCCACCCCCCATATATATACATAGAGGTTTATTTAATACACACACACATTTTTCCATTTTTCTTGAGATTGAATTCACATATGACATTGCATAAGTTCAAGGTATTATGCACAGGTGTTTTAGTTTATGTTTGTATCAGTAAAGCAGCTCCTGTGTGCGATACCGCATGGCAACAGGGAGCAGGCTGGCCCCCGAGCTGGGGAGCTGGGGGGGCGCACCCACCCCCATTTTACAGGAGGGACTCAGAGGGACAAGGGGAACCACTGGATGTGGCTCTGTGGCTCCCAGAAGACTCACGTGTCATCAGGTCTTGTTAGTGTTTCTGAAGTGCCCTCCCAGCCCTGAGACTGTATTTTTTTTTAATTTTTATTTATTTTTTAATAATTTTTAATGTTTATTTAGAAAGAGAGAGAGAGACAGATTGAACACAAGCAGGGGTGTGGGGGGCAGAGAGACGGAGACAGAATCTGAAGGCTCTGGCTCTGAACTGTCAGCACAGAGCCTAAAGCGGGGCTCGAACCCAGGAACAGTGAGATCATGACTTGGGCAGAAGTCAGATGCTTAACTGCCTGAGCACCCCAGATGCCCCCCTGAGACTGCATTTTAAATGATTTGTCCCAGACCATACAACAGGCAGTGATAACTGCTCTTAAAGCTAGGGCTGAAGACCCCTCCTGTGCCCCAGGCACCGCCCTGAGTGTGTCGCATTGAGAGTCTCTGTAAATCCTCCAAATACCCCTCGGAGGTGGAGGTGACGGGTTCTGTTAGGAGCCCCTTAGCCATTTTACATATGAGCAGACTGAGGCTCCGTTTCGTTAGCATGCTCAAGGACACGTAACTAGAGAGTGGCCGAGCTGGGGTTCCAGGCAGGTCCAGCCTGCCTGCCACGCCTGTGTTCTGAACTTGACCAGCTGCAGGGGGAAGCAGGTTTCCTCCTCCCACAATGCATGGGGCTCCACCTACATCCCTGGCCTCTTTCAAGTCCAAGGAAGATGACGCATTGTAGAGCTGTGTCACCTCTGACCGTGACCAAGAGTGATCACAGGATGCAGGAAGGAACCAGTGGTTAAGTACAGATTTTATCTGTGCTGAGAACTTGGCCGGCTTTCTGGTTTTATGTCCCAGTAGAAAGATGCAGGTAGAGTTCAGTGAGCAACTTTGGCGCCTCGCCGATGTTATTGAACATTTGTCTGGAGTCGCGTTATCTCGGTTTTACTGGAAATCAGTAGAAAAGAGGCAGCGCTGATAGCAGCAGGGATCGGTCTGGCTTTGGTCGCCAACGGCTTCCACAGAATATTCATCATTCGCTGATTCTGTATTTGTGAACTTGCCTCTTTCTAAGATTTATTTGTAACCCCAAGATCAACACGCATTGCTTGTGGTCATTTGTGAACATGTGCGGAGCAGCAAAAAATCTGAGTCGCCTGGGACCCATGTTCCCAGCTGGGGTGGGGGAAGGCGCCCTGTCGTCGTCGTCTTCTTCTTCTTCTTCTTTTAATGTTTATTTATTCTTTGAGAGAGAGGGAGAGAGAGTGTGCTAGCAAGCATGAGCAGGGGAAGGGCAGAGAGAGGGAGATGCAGAATCCAAAGCAGGCTCCAGGCTCTGAGCTGTCAGCACAGAGTCCGACCTTGGGGCTCAAACTCAAGGACTGTGAGATCAAGACCTGAGCTGAAAAGTCTGACGCTTAAGCTACTGAGCCTCCCAAGCGCCCTGCCCTGTCTTCTTACTGCTGTTCTCATGCTGTAAACAGGTATCCACACGGTATACATAGGGCCATGGTTTTTTATAATTTTGTGCTTTTTGTTCATGATCTTTCTGCTTAAAATGGCCCCCAAGGGGGGGTGCCTGGGTGGCTCAGTTGGTTAAGTGTCTAACTTCAGCTCAAGTCGTGATCGCTCAGCCCATGAGTTATAGCCCTGCATCCGGCTCTGTGCTGACAGCTTGGAGCCTGGAGCCTGCTTCAGATTCTGTGTCTCCCTCTCTCTTTGCCCTTCCCCTGCTCACACTCTATCTGTCTGTCTCTCTCTCTCAAAATTAAAAAATAAAGATTAAAAAAATCTTTTAAAAATGACCCCCAAGGTAGTGCTGAAGATGCTGTGTAGTGTATTTAAGTGCATGAAGGCAGTGGTGTGCCTTCCATAGAAAATATTCATGTTAGATGAATATTTGGTGGTAAGTTATAATGCTATTGGCTCTAAATTCAATGTTAATGAATCAACGATATCTATTAAACAAGGTGTTCTCACACAGAAATGCACATAAAATAAGGTTACACAGTGATGGGTTGACAAAAATGTTGTAGTCCAAGGCTCAGAGGAACCTAATCCAGCTTAACCCGCTGGCAACATGGTTCAGAATTCCGCTCCCGTGACAACGTGATAGAATGTAATTACTGCGAGTAGCAAGTGTCAGCCGGACCTGACCTTGCAGATCCCAGGGAATAACCAGGAAGGGCATTCTGGGTGGGCCCTGGTGGCTTTTTAACCTCAGAAGTTGGCCCTGCCTCCCCACCCCACCTGTGTCACCTGCTGGGGCTGCTGTAGCAAAGGACCACAGGCCAAGGGCCTATAAACAGCAGACGTGTACTGTTCACGGTTCTGGAGGCTGAGTGTCCGTCAGGGTGGGGGCGTGAGGACCCCTTCCCTGCTGCAGACTTCTGGCCATGTTCTCATGTCGGGGTGGGTGCTGAGGAGCTCTGTGGGGTCTCTTTCAATTGATTAATTAATTATTTAGAGAGAGAGAGAGGATCTCAAGCAGTCTCTGCACTATCAGTGAGGAGACAGTCTCAGGGCCCGAATGCATCACCTGGCAGATCATGACCAGAGCTGAAATCAAGAGCTTGGTGCTCAACCAACTGAGCCACTCAGGCATCCCCTGTGGGGTCTCTTTTATAAGGGCACAAATCCCGTCTGTGGGGGCTTCAGGACCTAGTCACCTCCCCAAAGGCCCCACCTCCCACTTCCAGTGCATCAGCGGGTAGGATTCCAACATGTGAATTGAAGGGGACACACATATTCAAGCCACAGCACCACCCTCAGAGCCCCTTGCGTGTCCTGTGTAGGGTGGGGACTGGAGAGCAGAGAGGGAAGCGCACGGCTGAGGGAAGACTGAGACCGTGTGCTCTAGAGGTTTGCTCCCCCTAGGAGTAGGGTTGGTACTTTAAATTTAACAATTAAACTTAAATTTAAATTTAAAAAATATATTTTTTTTAACGTGGAACTGGAGGGTTTGCTCGAAGCCACCTTTCTCCCTCCCTCCCGCTGACCGATCCATTCTCTGGTGCCACATCCTTCCCTTACAAGAAGTCTTCTTTCTGACTTGGAAAAAAGAGGCACCCCCAGCTCTGAGGCGGCTCTCAAATACAATGAAAGGGTTCTGCGCGCACCCCCTCTCCATAGCGAAACTTGCTTCTTCCCCAGGGAAGAGCCTCGGAACCCGCTCGAACCTGGTTGGGCTTCAGACCTTTGAGAACATTCTGCAGATGACTGCGTTGTCCGTGGCCCATCTGTTCAGTATCTTCAAGACCGTTTTTAAAGCAGCAGGATTGTTTTTTAAATAAAACTTCCCAGCTGGACCACACTTAGTAAGCAGAGTAAAAACGGGGCACTCTGCTTACATCCTGGAAGTTCTGTGCTTTTCCTTTAGCCAGGAATCCCAGCAGAGAAGTCTCTTTAAACCTTGAGGGTTCCCTTGCACACAGCTGGAAGGCACTCACCTGACTCCCATCCATGGAGGTTAGACTCTCATGTGCATCCAAATTTACAGCACGCATGGCTGCCCTGCCCCTAGGGTCTCGGCCTCGGGAGCCCTGGGGGGAGCCTAAGACTCTGCATTCCTAAAAGACCCCAGGTGGCGGTGCTGCTGGTCTGGGGGCCACACCTGGAGAACGGCGAGGTGAGGCAGGGTCGTTGTCCTCACCTGTCTGGGCATCCGCAGCTCCTCCGGACCGGAAACATCTGCCCAGCTGCTCCTGGCCCGAGTTTCTGGTTTCCAACGTCGGACAGGAGAGCCAGGAGCGGGCGTGGCTCCAGCCGATGTTGTGGCCTCGCTAGAGAGTTACCACATTCAGAAACTTCGGAATTTTCTGAAGTTGAAAAGTACAGGGAATTCATGCCGACTTACAGCTTCTGTTTTTCCTCTTGCTCCAGAGTCACACGGTGTACTGTGATGGCAGCCGTTTGCACCGAAAGATTTTCCGCTGTGGGTATGCGTGCGTGGGCTCAGCTGCCACGCAGAGCTTAG